AATTTTTCACTATGTAAGTGCCAAAATAAAGCAGACTGATGTTTTTGTTTTTCTGTTTTCCAAACATCTCCATTTTTGACCAGAAGAAAGTCAAAACCTATTTGTCTAAGTAAACATCTTACAGATCTACTTCTCTGCTCTTTTCTGTTTTTAAAATACTTCTCAAGAAGATTCCTGACCAGCCAGTTAGAAGTCTGCATGGGCAAAACTCATCAAAGACCAGATAAATATTTCCCTATCCCTGGAGAGGGGTTTGTTAACTTGCATCCATTGGCAGAGAAGGGCACTCTTGATGTCCGCAGCACAGTCCTTTCCACCTTGGATAACCATCTATTCTCCATGCAGAAGTCATCTTAGCACAATTAAATGGCTGGTGAACACCATGTTCCATGCATTGTTTTGTGTTCTTTATCCACACACTGATTATTTAAATTAGCGTTATGAAAGGAAGCATAATTTTCATGGAATACATTAGGTTGGTTTACCCTGGCAGAATAAACGTTTAGAATGAGACACGACATGTCCCTCAGATACGTCTGATGCAATTAAAAGTTCTAATAAAAAACCAGTTATTTATACAAGATGAACTGCTAATATTTAAGCAATTTTTAAATTAATTATCTGGTGCCCATTTTATGTGTGTTCTCGAAGCTGATGACATTTATTTTCCACCTCCTCTCACTTAAAGGAAAAAAAAATACAACCAAGAGCCAAGTTCTAATGGCATTTGAATGGGCATCCAGCCAGCTTCCTCTGAACCAGCACTTGGGACATCTGTTCCTTCTACCATGCCGTTAAAGGCACGCCATCTTAGTGTGAGCAAGGAGACACATTCTCTGGCTACTGGCACTGGGATATATGAAGGATTTTCTTTTAATTGGAGTGCAATTTCATGGTGTGTGAGCCCCCTGTTTGCGTTCTTAGTAATGTTATTTGTGAACCTGAACTTAGGGCAGTATCTTTTCCTTCCAGCTCCAGTGATCACAAGTGGTCTTTCAGGGCTGACTCCCATTGTCAGTGCTTGCAGTCTTTAGTGCTCTTTCCTGGGCTGAGCAGGGTAATGCCCCTTCATTTGAGAAATTGGACTTCTTTTTTTTGTCTTGCTGAACATCTGAAAAGCCTTGGCAAATGGACAGTGCATAAAGGATAGGTGAACTGTACTGACCTGGTGGAAACAGCCCAGCATATCTAGGGCTTTCCAGCCAGAAACACAAAAAGATTAAGGAGGATTCTGTTCCAACATCCTCCTTGGACCACACCATGTATATGGCACACCCTTCCTTACTCTTCCATTTCTCTCATGAAGTTAGTCCAGACCCATAAGGAACTATGCATTCAGATTTTAGGTGATAAACTACCTTAACGTAACAGTGACAGCATATTCATGGGTGTAGGACTGGAGGGTGCTAAAAGTAGTATCATCAATAACCGGGGTCAGGTGTAAATTTATTGATGGTTAAAAATGGTAAGATGTAATAAAGGAAAAGGGGCATGAATACTCAATGTCTTAATTTTTTCTCTTCTGCCCATGAAGTAAAAGAGCATATCCATTCTATGAAGCTGCAGATGGCATAGAAAATGTACCACTGTTAATTTTTTCTCTTTTTCACATCAGCACACCCTGTGTCCAGTTCTGTTCTATCACAGCTACTCCTTTTCCACATTGCCAAATCTGCTGTTTCAAATTAATCAGTCATTTTTTCCTGATAAAAAAATGAGACATCTTGCTTTTGAGATTGGTGGAGGGGTTTTCCCCCCCACACTCTTACATTCTTACAGTAAAGCTTATAAGCTTGTAAATCTGTTATAAAGCAAGATGAAATATTCATCTGGAAACATGAAAACAAAGATGTTTCTAGATTTGAGTGCAGCCCTGAGAATTTGCTAAATCTTGATTGACCCAAACTACTGGTTTTTAATAGAGGAAGATATTTGCTTCCTAGAATTTTTTAACTGCCAGTTACTTATGTCAGCTGTGTGTCCTCATGCTTTCCTACCCACTTGCTCCCCTGCTCTGCAATGTGTCTTGCAGGAGGTGCTCTGCTATAATTGTGGGTGCAGCAGGGTCCCTGGGAGCTTGGGAACTGGCAATGGTCTTCCGACCCTAACACAGCACAATTGGATTGTTCCTGTGCTCCTTTACATGTATAGGTGGAAGAAGAGATTTGCAGACATGTGGGTGCTTCCAAGTGGAACTTCTCATCCCCTAATTCTGAGTATTACCACCTTGCTGCCTAATGAATGCTTTGAGTGGCCTGTCACAAGTTTTCTATGCAAGACAAATTGGCTGTAGGGAATGAATGATGATGCCCATTTTGTTTCATTATTAACAGTCATATGCTCCATTTTTCAGTAGGAGGAAAATATAGCGAAGGGGAGTTGCTTATGGACTTGTTAATTGCAAAAGGTTTTAGACCTTCATGGTAGGGAGAAAGGGAGAGGTAACACTTTTAATGCTGAGTAGTTACAGTGGGGTGTGTTTTTCTTGTCTGGGGACAGTATCAGAGTAGCACTGTCCTTGACTCCAGTTGTTCACGGATGAATACCCAGGCTAGCCTGCATTTGCCATATGCATCTGTTGACATTCTCCCATAAAATCAGAAATGTGGGCACTGGCTTTACTAAGACTTCAGCATATGTTTTGATGTTTTACTGAATATGGTGCTTAAAAACACAAAAAGGGGCTGAGAGTAGGGTTGGTTTTTTTTTAGCTAGACTCAAGTTACCTCCCTTTTAGGCAGCTCCCTGGGGGGAGTCATCCAGTCTTCTGTGGGAATGAAGTGAGGAAGTAATGGTATTCACAAGAAACTGGAATTCATGAAATCCCCTTTTGGAAACAACCCTGACAACAGCTCAGCCAAGACATCTGGTAGATATCTGGAGCAAAGTGGCTTTGTCTCCTGGGCTTTTTTCAGGTTTTACTTCTGAAAAGTTATCCATCGTGACCTTTAAGCAAATCCACCAAGAATTTAGGTCAAATGTAACCTTTTCCATTACATTTCACATACACTTTGGGTTATGCTTTTTCTCTTAGAAATAGTGGAAATCCCAGAACTTTGGCTCAAACTTTGTAGTCTGAACCCCTGGCTTCAAGGAGAGAACCAAGCCACAGTGTCAACGATTATTTTATTTTTTTTTTTAGACTCCCTCCTGTCTCCTCGTTAAATATAAATGTTCAGGGTTTTTCCTCTTTGGAAAGGAATTCAAACACATTTTTGCCTTCTCTCCTCTGCAGTAATTCACATTGTACATGAGGTAGGTTCTTGGGAAGCATCTTGTGGTTGAGATAAATCCGTGCATTACCTGGCACATGCACATTGAACCAGTCTTTTCAGGTTGTGAGTTTAATGTTGAGCTTAACTCGGTTTCCACCTGCCATACCAGGAATAACACTAGCCTGGCCTGTGAAGCTCCAAGTGTTTTGGATAGGCCATTTCAGCAAAAACTGCTTTATCCTGATGTGAAATCATCAGTAGTCCATCTCCCGGGGAAGGAGAGGCTTTGAGATGGCATTGTGAGAAGTTTTTCCCACAACTGCCTTCTCATGAAGACTCCTCTGTGCTGTGCTTGCTCCAGTGTGATGTGTCAGACATAAAACTTTGTAAATGATGTATAAAATCCATCAGCTAGAGGATGATGTCCTTAACAGTCAGCTGGAGAATTGGAATGCTTCAGTGCGTGCTCTGTCTCTCAGTCTTTCCTCTGCTCTCTGCCCATTCACAGGTCTCCCTTGGGCTCATTTGAACATCCCAAAGCTGCTGAGAAGTTTTAAGGAGGCTTTTGCAAATGAGTGTGTTAAAAAGCTGTGAAAAATGCTTCATGAACATGTCAGGGACAGTCTGACCTCATGACTATGGAACCAGAAAAAATATTCTTTTTTCAGGGCAGTTGTGTGGGAAGAGATGTTGAGTGAGGTATTTCCATGTGTTTGGGCTTGTTTCTGCCTGACTCTGTGCCCATCCTTCCATATCTTGAGCTTCCTGGGACAAGGTCTAGTTAGCTCTTTTTAAGCTGAGACACAGAGGATCCTGCCACATCTAAATAGTCTTATCCTATAAATCTTAGTGGAAACAAAGCCATGCTAATGCCTCAGTGCTCAGTCTATCAATGCTGACAGTCCTCTCCTCTTTGAGCCCCTACTGTTAGGAATGTAGCAAAATCTGACAGTACAATAATGTATATACTCATGAGAAGGGTCTTTCAACGGGATATAGGGTCTACTGGGTGCGAGTCAAGCAATGAAGTAATTAATTGGGAGGAAGTAATTGCAATGCTTAAATCAGTAAGGCTGCAGTAAAATTGAACGTTGAAAGATCTTGTCGTCTTCTGTCCTATTCAGTGCTGCTCCTGAATAAGGAGCAGTGCTCAGGGCACGGATTGGAGCAGTATCTCTTCTTGAGTTTCTTTATTCCCTTGACAGCTGGGACCACATGGGCAAACACACAGTCAAGTTAATTTGCAACCTTCTGGCCATGGTCACTGTCTGTGTACTCTTTTAGCATATGGCAAATGCAAGAAAGTGTGACTAGGCTTAAGTGTATTTCAGACTGAACTAAACTAAGTTGTACTGTTGCATTTGCCATAGGCAAAGTCGTGTATATGTGCCGTTACCCCAGCTCAGCTGGCTCTTGGAAAGCCACTGAGATGCACTAGCTTGGGAACACGTGTGAGCCCTTGGCATTGCAAAGGTGGTGATCAGACAGGCTGATGGGTGTGTTAAGGCGTTTGAGAGGCAGCCAAATTCAATACTTTTAAAAATTCCTTTCATCGTCATCACTGTGGCTGCAGTCCTTTCCTGTAGCTGGAATCAGGATGTTTGATTTATAGTCCAGTCTCTTTTGTGAAGAGTCAGGAGTGGGGTGGGCTGGGTCTGGGGTAAAAGCAGCAGTTGTCATGCAGGGTGGTGTCTCCATATGATTTGCTTTGCTTTTCCTTCCACAGCCCTTTTCAATCTAATTCCTGTGGGTCTTCGTGTGGTGGCAATCCAAGGCGTGAAGGCAGGTCTGTACGTTGCCATGAACGCTGAGGGATATCTCTACAGCTCAGTAAGTACTTCGCACTTTTGGGGTCCTGGAGTGGTTTGGTTTTGTGGGCAGGAGGAACCAGACTGTGCTGGCACTTGCAGCTTTTTCTGGAAATGGTCACGTATCACCAAACCTTTAAAAGCAGGAGGGGGAGGAGCTGCTGCAAGGCCATGCAATATTCACTTTAAAGTGTCTCCATGGAGATTCGTGGCAATATTTCCTGACCTGTGAAGATACGCTTTGTGTTCCTTTGAGTATATACTTAATGTAGGTCATGTTGTAGAGGAGGTGGTATAGAGTTGGCTGGTTATATTCTGATTTCACATTTGTGAAATGGCATGGACCCAGTGGGATTGCTTCTGAGTTGCACCCAGATAACTGATCATAGGTGGTGCCCCAATGGCTCATGCTCTCTTTTTGACTGAAGTGTAAATCCACAGAAATACCCTGACTCCATTAAAATGGTTCTGGACTGTTCTGGTGGCAGAATTTCCCTATATTTGTGTGGTCTTCTAAATGCACGTAAAAGATAAGTGAAGCAATTTTTACCACCTAATTCCCTTATAACTTTCTTAGATGGCACGAAAGGGCATGAGGTTATTCATAAGATTCTCATTTGAAGTAAGTAATTGATTTTCACAGTGAATAATTGATTTGGTGATTTATTAAATATGGCAGCCCTTTGCCAGAATTTGTATGCTTCAAATAACTTTGCTCTAGTTCTATACAGTAAAAAGTGATAGTTAATAATACTTTTCTCATTTCTGTAGTTATGATAGCTTTACAGTGTATAGCCAAGATTTTAATCTCATCTGCCTTTGTGTAAATTTACAGTGCAGAGATTCTGCTCTTTTCTAGGCTTTTACTTTGCTTTAAAAGCGTATGTGAGCATGGAAATGGGATCACTGAAAGGACAGAAGTTTGAGTTGTTCTATGCAATTTTTTCTAGCTTTTGCCATCCATCTTTGTTCTGTTCAGTTTTTTACCACTCACGTGATTTGGACTTCCCCCCTTCCCTGGGAATGTAACAAAGCTCTGTCTCCCCAGCAGCTCAGGATAGAAAATGACAAGTGAATGTTTTAGTATGCCTGGTGAGATAGGTCTCAAAACTGGCTCCCTGTCAAGAAGAGACAGAGAGATCAATCTGGATCTCTGTGGATGCCAGACGCTTCCTGTTTTTTCATAGCCCAGTAAACATAAATGACTGCTCCTAAATAAATTACATTAGTTTACTAACAGTGAAAACTTCCTCATTTTGTAAAGCTATCAGAGTCCTAAAGGTAATACCGAGTGTGGTGTGGTATTGCATTATTGTGCATGCTTCCCCCTGGGCACATTGCCAGTTTGGGCAGTGCAGGACATAGCTCTGCCCCTACTGTAGAATTCTGGCTCCTTGTACCACCAGTGCCCTGTAAATGAGGACTGCAGGAAATCGGTGTGTGTCACAGAGCCACATCCAGGCTGTGGGTCTTCTTGGAGCCAGGAGCGGTCAGCATTTTCTGAGCAAGTAGTGCAAGGGAGGGAAAGGTGTGGGTCTTGAGCAAAAGAAGGAACACAGAGTTGAAAATGTAATTTTTGACAGTTGAGAGATTAGAGATGATGCAGAGGAAAAGTATCTCTTGCTAGTAGTAGTGAGACACAGTATAAAGGGTGGGAGGGGCATACCAAGAGATGGTAAGCAGCAGGAGGACCATGTTGTCCAGGAAACACATCTGCTAGTCATATCAACTCCTAAAAGGCACCAGATCATACATGTGTTCAAATGAGGGTGGTTCAATAGGACCCTCTTATTTGCAATGAGTGTGCCCATCTTGAGTAGGAGGGTTAATCAGGGAAGGCTGATGGGAAAGGATGCACCATGATGGCCACTGGTTAATGAAGTGAACCTCATTACATGCCACAGCTTGATGGCATTCAGCTCTGTCTGAATTAATAAGAGTGAAACTATTCATGTCATCATCGTAATGTAAGGTTTCATTTGCAGTAAATGAATGATACTGGCCCATCTCAACTCCAGGGAGATGGAACTTTTTAAATGTTTTTCTTGTGATAACTAGTGGCTCTGTCTCTGTCTTAGAGCAGTAAATCAATGCTTTGGAGAAGACTTCAAGGCAAGGAAAAAGAAATTTTGTGGATAAAGCCAGTTAGAAGCAGGGAGTGTGGGTCAAGCCCATTATAACGTTGAAGACAAGGGATTAGAAGACCACGGTGCTATAAAAGAAGTGGGTTGTATCTGAGAAGAGCTGGACCTTTTTGATCAGTCTCTTTTGGATACTGTAGCTTTCCTTGTGAAGCCAGGAACCTACTCCAAGCCAAACTTTGGCATGGCTGTATCAGTCTCGAAGACTGTGCAGGGGAATTGCTTTGGTAGGACTTGACAGTCTGGTCCTCCCTGGGACGAGCAGAGCCCCTTTCCATGCTGCCTGGATCTGATTGCGGCCCATGCCAAGGGACACATCATCCCTGTTCTTTGCCTAGCAGACCCTAAACTACACTTTGTTCTGTCTGTGCATGTACCTTTTTTTTTTTTTCACTAGCCTTTTCTGAGGAATTTCTGAAAAAATGGGTCAACGTTCCCCACAGATATTGTTCCCTCACACAGGTCCATTGATAAATGAACTTTTCTGTTGCTTGGCTGCTTTCCGTGCTGTACGTCCCAGGTCTAGCTCTGCAAGAGCTTCTTAGAACATGCTCAAACCCAGGACTGGTTTCAGATAAAATTGTCCAGGTAACCAGGTGTTTTTTTTTTTGTTTGGTTGGTTTGGTTTGGTTTTTTCTCTTTTTTTCCCCCCCCTCCTCTTGAGCCCAGATTGATGCTGTAACTGAACATGTCATCACTGTGGGATTTGTTTTGGTTTTATTTTGTGGGGTTATTCTGGTGATATTTAATCTCTGTGTGACAGCTGAGATCTTGGCTGACATCCTCTGCCCTGGATCAAACCAGAGGCTATTATCAGCCTGGTCTCGAAGATGGTTTGTGCCAGCTCCTTCTGAGTTTGGGCCAATGGGCTCTTGAATGAATGAATGGGCTCAGAATAACCAGCCCTTGGAAAAAGTCTTCCTGGTGTTGATTAGCACAAAAGTAGGGCTGAGTGGAGTTCTCTAAAGCCAAACTTGGTGAGATGGCACTTTGTAGAAACATGAAAGAGCTTTCGGTGGGCTCGGCCACACTGATACCTTCAGCAGTGAGTTTCCTCATCCCTACCTCATCTGTTCAGACAGGGGACAGGGATAGTGTAGGGTTGGGTTGCTGGTTTAAAGCCAGTCATAGATTCCTAGCCAGCTTCAGAGGCCTAAATGCATTAGATGATAAAGCTTCTTTGCTTGGGAAGCAGCTGTTTGTTTGCTTACACCAGATACCTGATTTTTTAAAATTTTTTTTCCCCAGAGACTAGGTTATTGCTACCTCTGAGGCCAACATGGAAATTAGGTGCTTAGTAGACAGGAAAATCATGTTTTGGTTGAAGGCACCTGGCTTTAGGGTGCAAACCACTGTCTTCATAGCAAGCTTGCCAGAGTCATTGGTGTGTTTCCATTTGATTTCCTATAATGTCGAGCAGCTGTAAATTCCCGATGGTGCACAAGGGTTTCTACCAGCACCTGTTCTGGGGAGGGACATGACTCTCCTGAGGATCCACTGTTAGCATTTTATGCCAAAGAAAAATGCACAGAATGAATGAAGAGCAGTGAGTATTACTTGCAGTGCCTTAGCCCATGGGAAGCTGCCACCAAAGGCTGGTTGTTGCACAGGAGAGGGAAACACAGAATAAAGAGGTACGTCCTGCTCCAGTGAATTTACAGCCTGATCTTAACAGGAGAAGACACAGAACATGCTCTCCTGTCTGTCTGGAGTTAATAGTTCCACCACCAAATTAATTCCCACTCCTGTATAACCTTTCTTTGTGAAGTTTCTCTCCTCGGTACCTAGCTTCCTCTCCATTATCCCTGCAACAACTCACAGAGGCATGGGAAAGGGAGTGCCTCTGAAGTGCTTTGCCTGAGAGGCAAATTTTGTTGTCCTGGAACAGATCACCATCATGGGGCAGTTGAGCCTCCACAGGTCTGCCCAATCACTCCAAGTACACTGAAAGTGCAACTCTCACTCAATATGACGATATGTATAATTCAGTGGCATTGCAACTGGGGTTAGTTTTACCCCAAGTGCAAAATACTTCTCTTCTAAAATGTGTTGCTCTCAGATATTCCTTGTTGTTTAACTCAGAGTTCTAATTATTTTTGAAATGGCAAATTGTGATTCATAATTTATTGGAAAGACTGAGAAACCCTAGCAGAGATACAGAATACAGAGGGAAAAAAAATGGGTCACTTACGAGAGCTCACTATGGTTTTACAGTATAAACTTGTGAGTTTGAAATGCTGAAATTATAGCCTGAATCATTTCAAAGATTCCTGCTCATAAGGGAATGATTATGCACAATATTTAAAAAAAAAATCCAAGCAACATTGAGAAAACCCAAGTCACGTTAAGAGCTCAGTGTGTCTTTGCATTTTCTTTTCCTCTCCTATTTTTCTGCTTTATCATTTTGCATAATAAACATGTCTTGCATAATAATAAACAAGCATCTGGGGAAGTATGTATATTAACTGTGTTTTTATTCTGCTTACAATGCTATAACTATTTTGCTACAACTCCTCTAGGGTAGCTGCACACCTATTTACATCATTCCAAGGTCAGGGGCTGGAATCAATAATTCTGCATTCTCTCCCCCCTAATATGCTTGGGGTGTACAGCCTGCTCATGCCAATGCCATTTCTTTAATTCTTATTTGACCTCCAGTGGTACTTGTTGATTTGGTCAGAAGTACAGACAGCCCAGGCGGGTGTCCTGGACACCTCCCTTTTGCAAACCTTGCAAGCAGGCACACTTGGTGGGGAGATTCCATGCCTCATTAGGGAGCCAGGTCAGTGGAGAGAGAGAAATATCTCCAAAGGCAAAGCACATCAGGAGACCAACGTAATGTGCTTTTAATTTCTCTCCAGAGAATCTACTCTTCTTCATT